TAATCAGGTTAGAGACAAACAATTCGGGCCTCGCAGTTGTTAATTCGTTTACGAACGCTTCCAACCCACGAAAGGGACACGTGACCACTAATCACACCACCCCTCGTTCCGCAAATTAATCCCAAGAAAGTTCGACTAAGTGAGCTCTGAAGAGACAAAAAGCTTTTGCGAAAAAATAAAGAGAAGCATAACGGAAATCTGATCGTTATAAGAGAAAATCGATGACTTTTATCTCGCGTGTTAAAGTAAAAGCGATAATGATAAACAGAAGTGGTGTCGGTAGTGGGAGGGAAACGAAAGAGAAAAATACACGGCCAGTCTAGACTTTGCTAGACGACGATCCTTTCTGACAAGGATTTATTTAATGCGACCGCATCAAAACAGATACACTCAGAGACATTGAAAACGCCTAAGGAGCAATCCATGTTTTTCGTTCTTCACTAGTTCTTGCTATTGGGCTGTAATAGCACTGGTCGACATAATGATATTTTTTCTTTGCTACACAGTAAAAAAAAATCAACTCTAAGCAACACTAATTAGAGTTCACACACTAAATAGTGTTGTTTTATAACACTACAATTAGAGTTAATTTGTAGTGTAATTTTCCCCAAGTAAGCAAGTATGATTTAACACTATAGCACTGAGGATAAAGTAATTTTACACTCTACTAAAAAGTGTTAATTTACCTAAAATCGTGTACTTATACACTTCCTGGGTAAAATCCCACTTTTGTTCAGTGTAAATTAACACTACTTTGGAAAAGTTCTAATTTTAGAAAGGTACTTTTACTCTTTTAGTGCAAACTTCTAGTGTAAATTATTATTATTATTATTTAAGTAAAACCTATTGGTGGTAGTAAATAAAACGAAAAGGTAAATAAAGAGAAACATTTATTTGGAACAAAAATCTATGACAATTATCAAAATCTGTGCCTTTTAAAATATAATTTTAAATTTGAGTCGTATGGCTGGCTTAAGCAAAATGGTTCCTTAAAAAGTAAAAGTTTTAGATCAATGCAATGTTTTACTGGCTGTCAACTTGTTAGCAATGCATTATCTTGAGAATTCATCAGTAATCCATTTTTCTGTTATAAAAAATGGGTGATCCCATTGGTAGAGAGACGTCAGTATGTTGGGGATTTACCACACGTGTACAAATTTTCCATAATATTAATAAAAATGTAGGTATATGTTAATATAACAACCATTACGCTTGAAAATAAAAAGTAAATCAAGTGTGTATGTATTTATATTATTAATGTTACAAGTACCCGACCTACTGCCGTAAATTATTGATATTTAATATAGGTCGGGTATGGACATCCTTTTAACATATTGGTATTTATTAAGTATTAAGGCTTAAAGAAAAAGGAAGTATAATACTTACCAAAAAATAAGAATGTCCCCTTATGGATTCACCGTAATTAAAATCTAACTGAACAAAAATGCCACACTTCCACAACGCGGTATCTCCGGATATGCACTGCGTAGGTAGATAGGTACCAACCAAACATTTTAAAACGCATTTCGGTTATTACCAGTTTTTTCAGTCTATTTTGCCACTATTGGTGTAATTTAACTTTAATTGTGATACAATGTGCAATAGTAGTGTAAAGAAAAAAGAGCTCTTAGTAACATCAAAACAAACAAAGAAATTGGCATGCACTTTAGGGTACATTTTGTCACTATTTAACACATTAAGGGGTAATAAACACTCGCATTAAGTTTTTCTACCCTTTTGATTTATTTTAATAATAAATAGTGTGAATGTACCAATGAATAATGTTCATATTCTTTAAATGTGTTTAATAAAGTTAATAAGCACTAAATGCTACCTAGTTTATTTTGTAGTGTAACTTTTACACTTACAAATTAACTCTAATATTTTTACCCCTACACTAAAAAATTTACACGGGCAAATTTTTTTACTGTGTATAGGGTGATTTGGGTGTGCTGATAAAAACGGTTTGTTTTTCATACATAAGGCAAAACCCGCTAAACCTGCCATCTATCTGCCTTGACATTAGCTATTTTGACCAAACTTGGAACAGTATGTACTGTACTCAAATATTTATCAAATTGAGTGAAGCGTTTCGTACAAACAGAGCGTTATAATTTACTTTAAATACAATTTTAATTTCTTATTGTCAACACAAATGTAAAAATAATTTAGAAGAATCGGGTGAAGTTTTTTACCTCCTAGGCGGTAAAAAACCCGCTTGGGCCAATACACATAACCTAACTTTCTACTTTTATTAAACAAAGAGTCAAAATAATTATTACACTATGATAGTTCGAATTACTAACATTGAGTACGCCCTCCTATATTACCTAATTTTGGGCTGCTGATTTCAAAACTGCCACTCGTTTTGCTTCAGGACGTCTAGGATTCGAAATAATTGCGTAATAAAATGCTCTGCCCAATTATCTCAAAAAGTTTTTTTGTTAATATTTTGATTATTTATTAAATAATTTTGCCTTAAATCTATTTTGGATGTTCAGTATATTTTTGACGTTTTTTGTCAAAAATATACAGGGACTCCATACAAAGTCATCGGTAGATAAATGTCAAATAGAAATTTGTTTTGTTCCATTGTAGCATTATACTATAGTAGTATTAAATACAAAAACTAAAATTATAATGTTTTTTTTGGTCAAAAGTATCATTTTTTGAAATTTTTGTGTCGTTTTTTTAATTACTAATTAAATTGAAAAAGCAACAAAGGAAATGGGTTTTAGTATAAGCATTACTTTTTGACTATTATTTGATATTTTTTTTATTCAAATCATGCCTAAAGTACCCAAAAATTTAATCTCCAATCTTATTTATTAAGCCTTATCAAAATTTATTACCGAATTGTAGTATAAAGGCGCCTTTATCTACTTTATCGTTCAAGCACATTAAAGTGCATCTATTAATTATTGACATTTAAAATTTAAACTTTAAATTGTATTTTTACTTGACAGTGATTTTAAGAACCAAAAATAAAAAAAAGTAGGAAATGGAAGGGGTAATTGAAGTTGCAGATAAAGGAGACGAATATTTATGTCGTCCTTGTAAATTTGTTTTGTTTTTGTTGCGGTACCTTTACGCCCAAGAAAAACCAACGCAATTTCATTACAAAATTTTATGAGATATACCTACTTCTTTAATTATGCAGGAATATTAAATGGACCTGATATACGACGTTTAATGAAAGATCAAGTATTCAAAAATACTCTCAAAGTTGTCATTGAAACTGTTCTTGGTTCATATCGGGCCTAAAATTGGCGCCAATTTATTGAAAAAATGCTCTCCGTTTTGTAAAGAATTAGCGTTAATATGTCATTTAAAATACATTTACTTTTTTTTTCATCCTGATAAATTTACCGAACTGATGAACATGGAGAACGATTTCACCAAGTAACTGCAAATCTAGAGCATTGGTAGATATATATATATGGGTATATCGGAAAGAAGTTGGATTCATTGCTAGGAGACATTTGCTGGAATTTGCAGCAAAAGATGTACGACGATGATGAGGATTAAGCACAATAATACTATAATCCAATTCGATTTTTGATACTGAAACTTGTTTACTTTGTTGCCCTTTCAATTTAATAATTAAAATAAACGACAATGTCAAATAATTGTTTTTTACATAAAATTTAGTATTATAGTATTTAAAATGTCATATTGTTAAAATAAATATGATCTATTTGTCGTATGCAAATTACGTCAGTACATTCAAGATACATTTAAGCCAAAATAATTTAATAAATAATTAAAATAATAACAAAAAACTTACATTTTGAGGTGATTGAGCAGAGCATTTTATTACGAAATTATTTTAAATCCTAGACGTCCTAGAAAAAACTAATGACATTTTTGAAACAATTAGTTAAACTTAGCTGGAGTTGGTTTATAATGTTAGGAAAAAAAGTTTCTAAAACTATCAAAGTGTTATTATTATTATTATTATTCTACGCTTAACGTATCGTTTAAAAAATAACATTGTGCCCTAAAGATAAAATGTTGTATGCCCTTCGAAGTGACTTTTTGTGCTTCGCTCAAATGGAGGCCACCGCTACGCGTCGGTCTTAAAACTTTTAGAGTAAATACACAATCTAGAAAAAATTGATGGTTAAAAATCATATAACCTGCGTAAACAATCTTAAAATTCAAACCTAAAACTAAACATAATTATTTACTTGACCTTAGTGTTATGACTACACAGAGAAAAATGTATGTTAAAAAACGTATATTAAAATTTGTATAATAAAAAGTAAATTAAATTATTATATAAATTAAAAAACTGGATCTTAATAAGTATAATAAAAATATTATAATCGTCATATTAAAGTTATGATACGGTTGATTAAGTGGTATTTTATCATTTATTAATTTTACACTTATAACTTAATATTTAATACAAATAAAGTAATATGTTAATGCGGTTTAATAAAAAATATTACTATATTTACAATATATCTTAATTATATTTTTATATTAAAATTTATCATACGATTTAGCTGTCACTATATTTAACGTAAAATATAATAAATAGTATTATATTTCTAATATCATTTATTATATTTTTTCTCCGTGTAGACTTATATACAGAATACATAATATTACATTTTATTTTAACATACTTTTAGTTATTTTTGTGGTATTTTCAGAGAGATATAATAAAAAATATCGTTCATTACCCGTCCGCAATGGTTTGTGCTGGTTTAAAAAATTGCCCAAACTTATTTAGCTCATTTTTCTTTTCGATTGAGTCGCGCGATGTGATGATGATCCCGACTTTGGTCGCTTTAGAAATGTCGTCAATAAATAAATTCCCCTCGTTTATCCAAGCAACCACTTGGTTTACGTAGCCCGAATAAATAAATAAAGAAACTTTTCCCGAGCCCTAACAGATAGACGACCGATTTAAAAGTCCCATTTAAATAACTAACGAATGATTTTCGAACTCCTTAAACAACAATTTCTGAACTTTTACTTCTTTCTTTCAGCTGGCGGGACGATCTACGAGTGCGCCAAGGTGGACTTTTTCTCCAAAGAAGAATATACACCGGACCCTAACGATTCCACTCTCGCAATACCTTGTAAGTATACACGGAGAGAACTGTTTTGGAAATGATTACCAAAAACCGAGTAAATTGGCTTGTGTATTTTAGAAGTGAGCGCTTTTGTGTTTAGTAGGTAATCATTTCCAAACTCTTATGTTTAAACATGTCTTGGATTTTTTAATCACTCTCTATTATACAGTGTGACCCATTTGTTTGTGACACCTCTATTTATTGTGCGATTATAACCGGATTGGTTTTAAAGTGAAAATCTTGATAAACTCTATTTTTGGAGCAAAAAACTCCATATTTTAACAAAATACTATGCCACTTTTTGAAAGTAAATTTTTAAGAATTCATATTAGCGATTTTCAAAAATTCTCTACAATTATATTTTCGTCACCTCTATTGCACAAGAACTACAAGCCTGCTTATCCATTACTCCAGAACAAATATGAAAGTGTCTTGAAATAAGTGATGGATTAGTAGAGGTGATAAAAATCTGTCAAATCTGTCGTCAACCTTATATTATGATAGTTTCTATTTCTTAGAATTTGTATAAATTTTTAACTAAACTGCGCACCACTCAACATAACTTTTTTGTTTCTTAAACAATTTTATTTTGGTCTGTGATGTCTGCTAGGCCTATCCTCTGATAATTCATGCTATAGATATGAAGCTCATGGTTCTTTAAGTAAATTTCCTACAGAGTGATATGTAAAACGGTGAAAAATTTCAATAACTTCATCAAAGCCCCGTTTGTAAAAAAATTATTTTTTTTTTTCGTTTTTACTTTGAAATAATGAAGTATTATGTCTTACCTTGCAAATGTTTTCAAATTTTTCGAATTGGAATCTTAGCAACGAAAATAGGATTTTTTTTCCAAAAGAGTACATTTGAGGATTTTTGATAGGCAATACACTCGTCTTTTTAAGAACAAGGAGATAAGATGGTGAAAGATTGTTCCTTGAATAATTCTGAACAAGCGACAAGCAACAAACTTCCATTATTTTCAGAGGGGCCTAAGCAAAGACCACTTTTTCAAAATGACATTTTGGTGAAAATTTGCGAAAACTAAACCTGAACCGATATTTACGTTCGTGACGTGTTTTTTTTTATAACTTTTACTTCCTGATTGTGATCCAGTTGTCAAATTGAAGTTTCAGATAAAACCAAAGTTACCAAGAATCAAAATTCGAAAACAATTCCAAAACGAGAAAAAAATATTTTTTTTTAAATTGTTCACTGTAGAAAATTTACTTGAAGAACTGTGAGCTTCATATCTATAGAATGAATTACGAGAGGATGAGGCTAGCAGACATCACAGACCAAAATAAAATCGTTCAAGAAACAAAAAAGTTATGTTGTTTTGAAAAAGAACGAAGTTTTTGGTCGCGACACATTGGGTGGTGCGTAGTTTATTATAATTTTATAGTTTTATCCAGATAAAAAAGAAAAATTTCTTTGTTTTTTGAAATGTGTAATAAAATTAACAATAAATAATCAATATTTGATTCCGGTCAAAGTAACCATTCTAAATCTTATAAAAGTTCATTAAAGTTTTTACCGATTTTTAGCTCTTATAATTTTAGAGTTTCAGCTAGATGTATATTTTTTTAAGTTTATTTAAAAATTAGTAATTAATTATTAGTTTTATATTCCGGCCAAATTAACTGTTCAAAAACTTTGAGACTTGGCATAAGTAGCTATTTTTTTTAAATTTATACAGGGTTTCAGTTATTATTATGATAATTTAAGGGTGTCAGTTTTATTATAATAATTTAAGGGTTTTAGCTACATGAAAAAGTTTTTTTTATATTTTTCTAAAATATTAAGATCTAGACATTATTTTGTATATCATCTCAATCAAAAAATTCTAGATAAATAGTGATTTTCTAATGAGTGATCCATCAGACTGAAATTCAAATGATAATGATAATAATAATAATATAGAATTTGCAAAAGTTAAAAATTTTAAAGTTGTTATAGGGGAAACAGAATATATTTACTATAGAATTTTATAATAAAGAAGATTAAAAACAATTTATAATTCAGCTGACATTAGAATACAAAAAATATTTCAGATGCATATAAAAGTACAGTAATCAATAGTTATAAAGAAATAATCATTTGTCTATATAAAAAATGTTTTTTTTATTAAGTAATTGACAATTCTTTTTTATTGAAAATTTTTAACTTAATTTAATAATTATATAGGTACGAATAAAGATTTTTAAATGAATTTAAAAAAAGTACTTTTTTATATCTACCTGAAACTCCAAAGTTATAATAGCTAAAAATTGTAAGATAATAGATAATAAGATAATAAGATTAAAATCTGCCAAGTTTCAAATTTTTTAAAGGTACTTTGGCCGCAATAAAATATTGATAATTTATTCTTAATTTTTAAACAAATTTTAGGAAAAGAAAATAAAATTTATTTTTTATCTAGCTGAAACTCTAAAATTATAATATCCAAAAATTTATAAAAATTATAAAAAATATTCACTATTCTAAGGTTGACGTAGCCAATTTTCCAATTTTTTAAATAGTTTATTTGGCCGAAATACAGAAATTAATTATTCAATGACGAAAATATTTCATATTTCAACACAAAAATATAAAAGTTTAAAACCTTAATTTTGCCATTATAACAACAAATTAACAATTTATATTGTTACTTATTTACTTCTATGTTGTTTTTAATGATCCCTTGTTTTGTAAAAAAGGAATAATTTGTTAATTAACGTGTAATTTTTAATACATTTCGTCGGTCTCCTTACGTAGTGGCGTAACTAGCTTTTCACAAATTTTCCAATAGACGCAAAAAACGAAAATGGAGCATAATTATATCGGTGTCCAATTGTTACTACTGAAAGTGGCCCAAATTGTTTTTTTTATCAAAATGTTCAACTATTCCGGCTTCTTTTAAGCATAACATTTTTATTATTATCTGATCAGCTTGCAAGTAAAAAACATGTTTACACAGATACGTCAATTTGTAAAAATATATTTTTTTTATGTTTACACTTACGCCTATAAGATCGTGTAGGGAAAAAGTGATATAGATTCATAATATTATACTTTTAAACCAGTTTATTGTGATAAATAATGAAATTAGCAAAAATGTTTTACAACGGCTAATAAAAAAAGAAAAAAAAATATTCAATCTTAAAAAAATGCAAACAGTTTAAAACTGATTTTTTTTGGAACAAGGAAAAACAGCACTATTCTTTTTTGTCTTCTTCGTGCGGCAAAGAGTAAAAGAAGTTTTGAAGTTTGGGTGTGCGTATTACCGCTGTTTTGTTTTTGCCAGATGGTTTACAAAGAGCAGTTAAATCTTCATATTTCTTTCTGGAAATTTTAATTTGTTATTTATTCAAATTATCAATAATTAGATGTCTTATTCCACCACACACAATTTACGAATAATAATATTATTTGAGGTTATGAAATTCTCAAGGTTAATTTGATGTTCCCTCCACATACTTCCACAGTGTGTGGAAGTATGTGGTTCGCTCCCGATCGCGTGCGCACATTGGTTTCAGTTAAAATGGACCAAAAAAGTGACACGGCGTAAAGGCGTAAATTAATTTACGCCAATACGTGAGAAACACTTTTAGGGTTTATGCACTTACGCCATATTTTAGTAATGGCATTGCAAGCAAACTATTAGAAATACAGTTACGCCACTTGGTGAGGTTAAAAAGCACCCCAAAATAATACCTAAGGCGGCGTATCTCAAAATCTCAATTTTTGTCAGTTACGCCACAACGTAAGGAGACCGACGATTTGCACCGCTGAATTTGCTGTCAAACTCTTCAAATGGAAATAGCACCTTGAAGCAATTAATAATTAAAAAATTACTAATTATTAATACTAAAATACTAATTACCAACAACCAACAAACCACTTTTTAATTAGAAACAATTATTGACGTGACAGATTTAGAGTCATGTCTCGGGCATCGCCTACTTCAACTTTATTTCAACAACCATCAGAAATTCAAGTGCTTATTTAAGTTTAGTGTAGTTAAGCAATTAAATTTTTTTTGTTTAAAATTAAATTGTTTTTCAAAATATGTAAAAATATACAGGATGTCTCATTTTGTATCAATTTTGAAACAGCTTCCACTCGTTTGAGGAAAACTGTTCCTATTTTCATAAACTGGCATAATCGTTTAACTTATGATATAGATATGTCCGATACAGGGTGATAAAAATAGTCGTTAAATTTTGTTTTTTTAGTCCAGTGCACAGTGTGTTATATTAATTATCTAGCTAGACAAAATGACATACAAAATTATAAATTTTCTCTGTAAACTGGGTATTTTTGTTCACTGAATCCAAATCTGACATCCAAAATGCTGCAGAATGATATGACATTGCAAAAAAATATATTTTTTATTATTTATTGCTTTAATTTTGATAATTGTATAAAAAGAAAAATATGCTAGTGATTATTTGTATTGATATGAATAAAAATAAATGGATTACCATTACTCAACGCCCAAAGTTTCACTCGAAAACCGCGATATTTTATAAGGGGGACCAAGGCCAATTTTTTTTTTTTGAAAAAATCGACCACGCTGATTTTAAAAAATCAAACCGCAGTTTCGTAACTCTTCGCGTTTGGGAGTTACACTCGAAAACCGCGATATTTTTTATAAGGGGGCACTAAGGTATAATTTTTTAACATAATTTCTTTACTAATTTGACCACGCTGATTTCAAATAATCAAACCGCAGTTTTGTAATTTTTCGCATTTAGGAGTTACACTGTCTGAGCTTTATTGCGCAAAATATAGGATTTGCTCTTGCCTGTCTACTACGCTATTCTTAGGCGACCTCCACAAAGAAAAACACCAAGCACTCTTATTGGAACACCCTTCATAAATATTTTAATTAACCAATGTATTCACTGATTTCTTAAAATTACAAGGCTAATTCATATTTATTTCTTTTTTAGATACCGTGACGAAAACGGTGGTTTTCTTCCTGATAGCCAGCATACTACTGGCCCTTGGATTTTGCTGCTGCATTTTCGGACAATGCGTCCGGAATAAATCACTGTACACCTTCGTTTCCGGTGTTATTTTTGTAATTACAGGTGGGTTATAAAAATTAAACAAATTAGAACAAAACAAAGTCGAGATTAGGCTGCAAAAGGAAAGATATAAAAAACCGGCATGGTGGCGGTTTTTAATTAAAAACTTAATTAAAAGTCCACCCACCTTTAACAAGATTTCCTATTACTTGTTCTAATTGGTCTAAATTTGTGGACAAACGGCATGACCTGCTAATTAAGACTAATGAGCGAAATATACGTTTCCATGTTTTTCCTCCCCCGTTTGACGATATATATATATATATATATATATATATATATATTAGGGTGGCCCAAAAAAAAAAGAATATTTTTTTTACTCGTCTCTTGTAAAAATATGTTAGTTTATCATGCTGTAAGAGCCCTGTCAAAATATCAGCTCGATTAAAAAAATTTTAGGGGTCGCTCAAGATTTTTTAAAATTTTCAAAATCGTCAAAAATTGAATTTTTGTTTTATTTTAATTTTTTTCTCGTCTCGATATTAATTTTTTGGTTGAAAATAATAAAAATTCTGTAAATTTCAAATCAATATTTTGATTTCTAAAGGTCGCTAAAAGTTCGTTGATATTTATATTCAGAGGTCGCTCAAAAACATTCAAAATACTTTACTTTGAAAGTTAAAAAAATCTTGAGCGAGAAATCAAAATATCGATTTGAAATTTTCAGAATCATTATTATTTTTAAATTAAAAAATAATATCGGAACGAGAAAAAAAATTAAAATAAAAAAAATCCAATTTTTGACGATTTTGAAAATTTTTAAAAACCTTGAGCGACCCCTAAAAATTTTTTAATGGAGCTGATCTTTTGACAGGGCTCTTAAAACATGACAAACCAACATATTTTCACAAGAGACAGGATATATATATATATATACATCCCACTACACTTATGGCGTCCTTTCATGGACGTCACTTATGGCTTCCCCCTTAAGGACGCATATATATTCATTTTTGATTAAAGTATATTAGCTAACCCATTCTCCTTGTGCCTCCACTCGTTTAAAATTTTAGTTATTTTTTTAAAAATATACGGCTTTGTGACCTCCTTTTATAATGCAGACATATGAGCCCCACGAAATATATGATTTTGTACATTTCACAATATATATGAACTCCGGCAATGTTGCCATATTTCATAATATAAAAAACTATTATATTTTTATAAAACTTAGGATATAACTTGAAATATTATAAATACCCTATATTATTTAGACTTTCTTAACAATTTTTGAATAGGTAATAAACGAATGGTGAGATTAAAAAACTTAATTTTATTGTTAGAAAACAAATAAATTGTTTTTAGTTATTTTTAATTTGGCTCGATCTAGCATAAGAAAATTTGCGGTAGGTTTATAAATTCAATTAAATTCAAAACTTTATATTAAATACCTACCTATAGGTATACTAATGTTAAAAAACTGTTTTTTAGAACACCATTTTACTTTGGAAAAAATCATATTTATTTATTTGACAATATTTATTAAATGTATGTATACTTTTTGCTTTTTAACAGTAAAGAACAAAAATATTGTGGCTGTAATTAAAAATAAATGTGGTAATATTCAAATTGTATTACAATAATTGTAATTGCAATACCACATTTATTTTTAATTATCATTACAATGTTTTTTGTGAGTTTTGCATACGCCTCATCTATGGATATAAATACAAGGGGATGACGTTTTTTGTGATAATTTATTATGAGTTTTATACGGACTGTAAGTCTAGGTACCTATCTATAGATATTACGCTTTGTTAATTTTGTAATAGGTACCTACTAACATTTAATAACGTGGGGGTGGGAAAAATAGTGGTTTAAATAACTGTATAGGTACTATTTATATAGAATTATTATAATTATAGGTAAATTTATATAACAATACAGTTATTTAAACCACAATTACCGGTTACAACTTATTAAATTTTAGTATTGTAAATTAAACATAGCATAATATTTATAGATACCTACACTTTTTAAAATAATATCTGGCAGTCATAATAATTATATATTATTATTAACACTTTGTCGGGTGGTTAATATAATTTTTAAACTTAAGATCTTAAGATCTAGGTAATATATATCAAAAATCTTAGTATTAAAATTTTTGAAGTGAAACTTTTTAAGCCTGATTTATAGATTGCCTTTCTTCCTTCATCCCTTCCTTCCGTAAAAGTTAAACAATGGTCAGTGTTCAGGTTAGTTAGATGTAAGAAAGGAATTTTATATAATTAATGTTGTTAAAGTTAATATAATAGTTTATATAATTATTAGGACCCTTTGTTAATACTTATCTTGCCATACTATTTTTTCATTGTAAAAATTTAAAAGTGGATGATTATAATGTTATGTAAAGGTGACCCATATACTTAGGGGCCGTCCATAAATGATGTCACACACAGGGGGGAGGGGGGTCGTCGAAAATGTGACAGTTTGTGACAGCCTGGGGGGGGGGGTTTGGGAGGTTGTGATGTCACAAAATTATAAAAATATTTTGGATATTAAGATTTTATTTTAAGCAAAAATTTCGTGGGGTAGACCTTACATAAAAATTAAATCAGTGTGACGTGACGCCAATGGGAAGGGGGGGGTCCCATAATTTGTGACACTTTGTGACAAGGGGGGGAGGGGGTTTCAAAAATAGGGATGCACGGGATCAGGTATTTTGCCGATCCGGCCGGAAACGAAATTTCGGCCGCTGGCCGAACCGGATCGCCGGATCAGGACCTAAATTTAAAATGTATGTGCATGCCTGTTTTTATACGTAAAACATTGAAAATATTGAGGCTGATTTATTTGTACTTTTTTTTAAACTAGCTACAGTATGCAGAGTATTTATTACTATTAATTTTACCTAGATAAAAATAAGTGTTTATTTAAATATTAATTTTTAATTAGCGTTACCAAAACTCATTCAATTGGAGAATAGCAGCCACCTGCCAATAATAAAAAAATTAAAAAGAAGTCGGGGAACCACAGCCGCCGGTCTATCATAGGCAAGGAAACACGCACACCCTTTACTGTTGACCAATTACAAAATATATCTGAAAAGCGATCCGGCCGGAACGGTAGTTCCGGCCAACTGGCCGGATCGGCCGGATTTAGTGATACCGCCGGAATTCCGGTGCATCCCTAGTCAAAAATATTAAAAAAACGTGTGACATCACTTATGGACAGCCCCTTATCTCATAAACTACTGGAGTCACAAAAAATTTGTAAGAAACAAATATTCACGAAGTAAAAAATATTTTTAAAATATTATATTTTCATTTATACAGAGTGTTCGGTTTTCCTTGGGCGATACCAACTATCTTATTTTCAATGGAAGACCCTGTATTTTTTTGATATACTTTGTAAAAATATTAATTAAGAAAATGTTAATACTTTTTGAGTAAAATTAAGATTTATTAAAATTTCGCTAAAAGTTAAAAATAACCAACTAAAAGTTATTATTTTTTATATTATGTAGTGTTCATCTCTTTAATAATAAGTAAGCTATAAGTTAATTAATTTTGAATGAAAATTTAACCACGGTAATTGGAAAAAGTTGTGAAAATGAGTATATTTTTTTTCTATTAGGTTTAGGTATAGGACATATATATATATATAAAGAAAGGAAATTACTTTTTATATCCAATTATGCAAAAATATATAGGGTGTTTCATTGAATAAAAACAAGATTTTAAATTTTTAAAAACGCCATTTTCAACGGGGCATAGAAAACACCCTGTATAATATTTTCCAAAAAATATAGTAATTAGTTTATAGCTTACTTATTATTAAAGAGATAGATACTACATAATATAAAAAATAATAACTTTTAGTTGGTTATTTTTAACTTTTAGCGAGTGCCTACATTTAGAGAAATTTTAATAAATCTTAATTTTACTCAAAAAGTATTAACATTTTCTTAATTAATATATTTACAAAGTATATCTAAAATAGTGTGTAGAATCCAAAAATGCAAAAAAATATAGGGTGTTCCATTGAAAATAAGAAAGTTGGTATCGTCCCAAGGAAAACCGAACACCATGTATAAATGAAAATATAATATTTTAAAAATATTTTTTACTTCGTGAATATTTGTTTCTTACAAATTTTTTGTGACTCCAGTATTTTTCTGAAATAAGTATAGTCGATAGTTTTCGATAGTGAGTAAATTATAAAAAAAACATAATTAAAAAATAAAAGCAAAGTAATTATTTATTTTTATTCAAAAATCACATTACAAATTTTACAAACTGCCCGAAACTTACAAATTTTACAAACTATAAACCTATAAAATCCCACAAACTTACCTTTTTTCTTTTTTGTCTCGGACCCAGATCGAGTTATGAATTTCTCCATTTCTTACAAATTTTTCAAAACACTTTGGTGAACTCTTTAGAAAAAGCACATATCCAAATTGATTTATTATCTATGATTGTTAAAAAAACTTTTTCTACAACTAAGCGAAAAGTACAAACTTGCGCTTCCTAAAGAAAGCGCAAAGTTGCACTTTTACGAGGAGCAAGCAACCAAGTTACTTTGTCAATCTTCTCGCTCAGAGCGGCAATGTATCACTTTGCGCTCCTAATACACAAATATATTCCATGACGAAACCATGACAAAAACAAACGCAATTTCGTCGCCAAATTTCAAAACAAGACATCGGAATTTAAAACAAAGTGCAATTATTTGACAGAATGAGTGTAGTGTGAGTGTGCCCCTAACTTTAGTTGCTATTAAAACTTACAAGATTAGGATTTTCGTGAAAGCTTTAATAGTAGACTAAAATTTAAAGCGTTATAAAACTATCGGAAACTATCGCGATAGTTTTAAAAACTATCGATATTATTCGATTGTTAAAACTATCGATATTTATCGATAGTGCTATCGATAGTTTTAGACCTCTACACCGCAGTCAATAAATTACACCGCAATTGGCAACACTGATTTAATTTTTATCGGAGAATATATTCGACCACCCAGGCGGCATTTCAGGGGTGTAATAACTAGGGATG